CCCTGCTCCGCCTCTTCCCGCCGAGGCCACGCCCCCGCTCACTGCTGTCAGCCCCTCCCCCCGTGGCCCTGGCAAGGGAGAGAGAAGTTATTTAAATACATTGGAAGTGAGAGAAAGACAAAGGAAAGTCGAGGCGCTCTAGTTAGTGGGAAAGAAGTGTTAATAACATCGAGAAAGAACATGTGTTTAACGCCCCTTGAGCTTCAGTCTTCATTTAAAACGTTAATGGTGACTCAACACAATGAATATTAACAACCCGGGGAAGGAACACAAGCCAAAATACGGGAAGAACAGGCTAAAGAATATTTCGATGTTGTGATGAACTGGGACTGTTCTTGCTGTGGTCTGTGAATGCTGACAGGGGAGTGTGGCTAGGATAGTCTGCATTGGGGGATGGGAGATTGCCCGAAGGAGAATACCTGAGCATGTAACATGAGAACCCAGGAAGGGGTTGGAGGCCAGGTGACACCTTTGCCCGGGAAACTGAACAAAGGCTGTGGGAGGGGTCGCTGAAGGGAGAGTTTCAGGAGCTGGCTGGGGAGATGGCTGGGAGGCAGACGGGGCTCTGACCTCCCCAGGGGCTGGGGTGCCCTGAGACCCCAAGATGGATCTAACTGGGGGGGATCCTGTTGTCTGTGCCTGCAAGACCTGTCTTGGACTGTGTTCCTGTTGTCTAAATAAACCTTCTGCTTTACTGGCTGGCTGAGAGTCATGGTGAATCGCAGGAAGCCGGGGGTGCAGGGCCCTGAATCCCCCACACTCCGTGACAGATGTATTCAAGGTCATGCCAAACCAGCCTGATTTCCTTCGTTGACAGGATCGCTGCCCTACTGGAAAGGGGGGAAGCGGTAGACGTGACAGACCTTGATTTTAGTCGGGCTTTCAACGCAGTCCCACATGACATTCACATAAGCAAACTAGGGAAGTGGGGTCTGAATGAAATGACTATAAAGTGCACCTGTTTGAAAGCCCGTACTCAGAGTAGTTATCAATGGCTCACTGTCCAGCTGGGGGTGGGGGGACATATCTGATGGGGTCTGGCAGGGGTCAGTCCTGGGTCTGATGCATTGCAATATTTTCATCAATGACTTGGATAATGGAGTGGAGCGGATGCTTATAAAAGTTGCAGAGGACACCAAGCTGGAGGGGTACAGGCGCTTTGGAGGACAGGATTAGAATTCAAAATGACCTTGACAAATTGGAGAATTGACCTCAAATCAACAAGGTGAAATTCCATAAAGACAAGTGCAAAGTGCTTCACTTAGGAAGGACAAATCAAATGCCCTAGTGTGACGAACTGGGACTGTTCTTACTGTGGTCTGTGAGTGCTGACAGGGAAGTGTGGCTGGGATAGTCTGCATTGGGGGATGGGAGACTGCCCGAAGGAGGATACCTGAGCGTGTAACATGAGAACCCAGGAAGGGGTTGGAGGCCAGGTGACACCTTAGCCCGGGAAACTGAACAAAGGCTGTGGGAGGGGTCGCTGAAGGCAGAGTCTTGGAAGCTGGGTGGGGAGGCAGAGATTGCTCTGACCTCCCAAGGGGGGCTGGGATGCCCTGGGACCCCCAGATGGACCTAACTGAGGGGGGCCCTGTTGTCTGTGCCGGCAAGACCTGTCTTGGACTGTATTCCTGTCATCCAAATAAACCTTCTGCTTTACTGGCTGGCTGAGAGTCATGGTGAATCGCAGGAAGCCGGGGGTGCAGGGCCCTGAGTCCCCCAATACTCCGTGACACCAAGTACACACTGGCGAACAGCTGGCTAGGTAGTCACACTGCTGACAAGGAGCTGGGGTCAGAGTGAATCGCAAATGAGTCAACAATGTGACGCAGTTGCAAAAAAGTCTAATCTCATCCTGGGCTGTGTTAACAAGCGTGTTGTATGTAAGACACGGGAGGCAATTATCCTGCTCTGCTCAGCACTGGGGAGGCCTCGGGTGGATATGGGGTCCGGTTCTGGGCCCCACACGTTAGGGAAGATGTGGACACATGGGGGAGACTCCAGGGGAGAGCAACAGCAATGCTCCAAGGGTTAGGGACGCTGCTCTGTGAGAAAAGGCTAAAACCCGGGGCCTGGTTAGTCTTGAGAAAAGACGACAAGGGGGGGACGTGTGAAGAGTCTGGCCTGCGTGTGAGGGGAGCACAGGGCCGGTACCGCAGCCCCTGCACGGCCCAGCGCTGCCCCCTTTGTGGGCTGTACGGGCCGGGTGTGAGTGTCTGTGGGCTGATGGGCCGGGCAGGGGCGTCTGTTGGCCAGGCAGGTTTGGTCCCAGCTCACTGCTGAGGGAAGGGACCCAGCTGGGAGAGTAATTACAGCTCCTGCCGCCGCGCTGGGAAACGTGCCGCCTCCGCTTCCAGGCAGGTTAAAAATAGCAGCTCTCGGCTGCTGCGGTTGGAGCGGAAGGGCCCAAGCCCCCCGCGCGGTGGCACCTCGCCGCCCACGCCAAGGAGCTGTAGCAAAGCGAGATGCCAGCCCGGGCTCTGAGTGCCGTTTCAGAGCATCAGTGACGTCTAGGGCAGAGCTTCGGGGGGTCAGTGAGCTGCTCTTGCCTGCCCCCCAGCCCAGCATGCTGCCCACCTGGCGCAGTGTGGGGCACACCCAGGGGTTCTACGGGGGCTCTGGGCGCTGGCGTGGGGCAGACCTGGGGGTTCTACGGGGGCTCTGGGCGCTGGCGTGGGGCAGACCTGGGGGTTCTACGGGGGGCTCTGGGCCCTGGTGTGGGGCAGATCCAGGGGTTCCACGGGGGGCTCTGGGCACTGGCGTGGGGCAGACCCAGGGGTTCCACGGGGGGCTCTGGGCGCTGGCGTGGGGCACACTCGGGGGTTCTACGGGGGCTCTGGGCGTTGGCGTGGGGCACACTCGGGGGTTCTACGGGGGCTCTGGGCGCTGGCGTGGGGCAGATCGAGGGGTCTGCATGGTGATTGCCCTTGCAGAGGCTCCGCCCCTGGTTTGCTTCGCACTGCTCAGCTGGGGGCTCTAGCCCCGTGCCAGAGGGGAAGGTTTCCTCGCCCCCAGGCACCAGCCGTTCGCCGTGCCGCAGCCCCGGGCTCTGTGCGCGTAGCGAGGGGGCAGCTTCCCCAGAGCCAGCCTGAGACGGGGCCTCGTGTTGGAAGCGGCTGCAGGCGGGAGAGAGGAAATCGACGTGCCACCCGCGAATGTGCCCGTCTCGCTCCCAGCCCTGGGCCTCGGGCTGAAGTTCCTCCCTGGCGCCCGCCCAGCCTGGCGCGACGGAGGGGCGCACTCTGCAGTGCCCAGCGGCTGTTTGAGGGGGGTCTGTGCTGGCTCTGGCTGGGGGACGGGGGTGCTGTCCCCCTGCCGGTTTGGGGTGGTGCTAACCTCAAGCAGTAGGGGAGGGGTGGGTTCTTTGTGCTGAACCCTGGACCCGTACCCCGGTCCCCAAACACTTCAGGGCCCTGTGGGCAGACTGGGCCGTCCTGGCTGGGCACAGACAGGCAGCGCCCACAGCCCCAGACCGGTGCTTTTCCCACCCTAGTCACAAGCCCGGGGGGGCTGGAGGCAGCTGAGCTCCGTGGCTCCCATGGGGGGGGGGGGCTTTATTCATACAGTCAAAGGCAGCATCGCTATGGCAACACATCCCATCCTGCCAGGCGGGGGAGGCGGCCGGCTGCTGCCGTGGGGATGACAGGCTGAGAGGCAGGAGCTAGGGCTGGAGGGTGTCACGGACTCCCAGGTCGTGCCCACTCTTGGCCCCATGTGGTCCATGGGGGAACCCCCTTCAGTGCGACAGCCCTTCTCGGGGGTCCACTCTCCTTCGGGGTCAGGCCCCTCCACCTCCTGGATCTGCACCTCCCTGAGCCTTAGCACATCTGTCTCTGCCGTGGACCCCCTCAGGGAGTCCCCTCGCTCTGGACCCCCGGGGCCTCCACCCCCCGAAGGGGTTGATGCCACCCTGTTCTCTAGACCAGAGTGACTCTCAGCCAGCGTAAAACAGGAGGGTTTATTGAGTGTCTGAACCCAGCACAGGAAACTCTCAGGGCTCAAGCCTGGCCTCCCTCAGCCCAGCACATCCCAGGTGGGCTCTGCATCCAGGTGGGCTCTGCCTGCTCCCCCTCTCCAACCCGGAGCTCCCTGCTTCCCAGCCGGGCATCTGAGATCCCCTGCCCCAAACCCCGCCTCTGTCCATTGTCTTCTCTCCAGGGAAACAGGGTCGTAAACCGGGTCGCCTGGGCCTCCTCTCCCCTCTTCTGTCCTCTGGCCCCCTCTGACTGGAACTGGCTGGTCAGGTCACCAGGGTCCTCTCTCCACAGCCCATTGTCCTCCCACTGCCCAGAACCGGCTGCAACTCCTGAGCTGGGTCCTTGGGTTGTCAGGTCACCAGTCGCTGGGGTATCCCTCCTCCAGGCCATCGGCTGGTTCTCTGTAACAACAAACTCCCTCTCCCCTCCCCTCGTTAAACCAGTAACACCCAGGGAAACTGAGTCCCACCCCCTCCGCATGCAAACCATTGGAAAACAAGGAAAACACAAGAAAATCCCCCACTTTGTCACAGGGGGCGCTAGGTCTGACAGTCCCCCGGGCGGCTGGGGGATGAGTATGGGAGCCTGGGGGCTCCTCCCCCACTGCAAGCCCCCCTCTGGGACTCAGGGCCCAGTGCTACCAGGGGCGCCCATCTGGGCACTGGGAGTTGGGTCCGGCCCTGGCTCCGGGCGGGTGGCAGCGCCGTGCACAGAGAGCGATGCCCTGGAGCTGCTCCCTACGAAGCCAGGCAGGACTCTGGGGGAGCCTCCTCTCTCGGAGCAGACTGTCTCCAGGCAGGAAGCTTATGCAGCTTCGACCTTCCTGGGTCTGACCTCGGGGCATTCAGCATCCCCTGCCCCACAGTGTGCTTCCCGCAGCGAGTCCGCACAGGCAGGGCTCTGCCCCCCGCTCCGCAGCCAGCTGTGACTCTCAGCCAGCCGGGAAAACAGAAGGTTTATTAGTTGACAGGACACAGCATAGGACAGAGCTTGTCAGCACAGAAATCAGTGACTTTCAGCCAAGTCCATCTTGGGGAGAGGGGAGCCCAGAGCCAGGGCTCTGCCTCCCGCTGCACCCCAAGCCAGCCGAGACCAACTCACTTCCGGCTTGACAAAGCCCTGGCTGGGATGATTTAGTTGGGAATTGGTCCTGCTTTGAGCAGGGGGTTGGACTAGATACCTCCTGAGGTCCCTTCCAACCCTGATAGTCTATGATTCTATGTACCTGGAGGGACAGACGGACAGGCAGGTGGGCACTGCACCTCTGTCATGGTGACCTGGGTAAGCAGCAGGCCCCGGCACTGGCTGACGGTGCTGTGCCAGGAGCCCTCACAGATACCAGCTGTGACAAAGTGGGAATTGTTTCCAATATTGGATGAAGCCTGTGCATGACTCAGTTTCCCCTAGTGCGGCAGGGCTCCCTAGCGGGTAGAAAGGGGGGTTGCTTTCTGCAGCGGCTCAGAGCCACAGGGGTGACTGGTGCCCAGCTGTCTGAGAAGACAATGGCCAATCCAGCCCCCACCCCGGCACCCGCAGGCCAGGCCACGCGGAGAGCTTGTGTGGGGGCCTGAGGTGAAGGCTGGCCCAGGAGGGGCTTTGCACTGCCAGCACTGGGCTCTGGGCACCACCATACCCCACCCCAGGCCCTGCAAGCCGGACCCCGGGGCCAGGGCGGGGGGCGGGGGGTAGAGCGCGAGGCGGTTATTCCCCCCCCAGGGGGTCTGTGCCCTTGGGTGGAGGGGGGCAATGCTCGGGCACCCCAGACTCATGCAAACACTGGGCTCTGCTCCCCCCCCAGGAGGCGCCTTCCCAGGGCGCAGGGGGCGGCAGGGGCCCTGCCAGGCCGGGGCTGCCCGACCTGCTGCTCCCC